TCACATTTCAATGTCAAATCATACGAGTATAAAACAATACGCTGACGATTAAGTGTTTATGCCATTTTATCAAGTTACACTGAAGAATTCTGAATAAAGCAATGGGCTTGTTTAAAGTTTGATACTTTTTTCATACTTCAGACCTGAAAGTCAGAGCTGAGAGTAGTCCAGAGCAAAGATACACTAAATGACATCAGCTGAAAGACAGTTGAATGAAAACAACAAGCCACAGCATCAAGGCTGTCTAGGCATTCTCTGTGCCTGTCTGGGAAGAGTAGGAAGAGGGGGGGGGTTGGTGCAGGAATGAGTGAGCTGGTCTTTGAAATCTGCTCTATAATTAGCAGGGGTACTATATCAACAGCAGGTTGTCTGGACCTGCTGAAATATGCTCAAGGTTCTGATTATGAAGGAGAAAGAGAGGCAGGGGTTCTTGATCCTGCTGTGAAATTGGATTCAAAGTGCCCTGACTTATTTATTGTCTTTAAGGTGAATAATTCAAGATCTTTGTCCTCTTAAAATAGTTGGGGCCTAGAGTCTTTAATATTTTGCCAGAGCATATCCCACCACTTGCTGTATATTTAACTCAACTACTTAAAGGTCACTGAGGAGAAGTATGCTCATTAAATGTTATCTCATTCACTACAGCATCCAAATCTCCACACTGAATTCCAACATTGACTGATATTGACCTCGGATGTAGTGTGCACTGACTCGTCGCTGTAGCCTCACTTAGTGGTGTTCCAGTAATGGCTGGACTAATGTGGTGCCCTGGCCTGAGCTGCTTTAGTGGGAGTTCATACTAGACTGGATGATGTGTGACTGTGCTCCACAGAAACTTTCATTCCAGACCAGCGAGGCTCGCAGAGCTGCACGAACGTCACCGCTCTGATGTGGAAGAGCGGCTCTGGAGTGAAATCAGCAGACAGACAGGACGGTGACTGCAGAGCAAAAATACAAGGCGCTCAAACTTACTTCAATTGTTGTTTAAGCAAGCGGAAAAGCAGCACAGTAGAAAGCCTACAGCACCTTTAGGCACAGTGGAGAGAAAATGCCGTAGGCCTCTGTCTGTTCAGTTCTTAAATGTTACGTAACATGTCCAACCAGTTACTGTGTAAACACATTTCATAAGTCAGCTGGTTAATGAGAAGTAATCAATTTATTGGATCAAGGAAACAGGAAATGATATACAAATGTTAGTCAATGCAATTTCCTTGAGCAGCAATATGACTTCCCTTATCTAAAAGACAAGATAATAATCCTGTCCGTCCTACATGTGGGGTCAACTGCTCTGATTTTTTGGCTCATAATCATCCCAGTATTATGTAATGGTGTAAAATATAAACTACTGCCATGTTTTGTTGTTCAAAGCCTTTAGTCAATGCCTTTAAGACAAGCATTTGCTGTCATACTACAACAGACAACCCATCTTATCCAACTCTGGAGTCACAAGAGTGTCGTGAGAGACTCTGCACACAATTTACAAAACTAGTGAAGATTCTGCTCTTCTATCCATGAAGACAAAGTATTAGACCTTACCAGAGAGTGGAGGCCGCCCTACTCTCTGTGCTACTGTGTTTAAAGTTTTTCTCTGTTTTAATCTGTGGGACCGTGAGACCACTGCTTTCCTCTATTTGGTCTGCACGAGGAATGTCGTAAACTTGCCAGGATTGTGCTCTTGGACCAGAAAAGCCAGAGGGCCACTTGCCGCCGCAAATACTACATCTCCCCCCTCAGCACTGAGCCAGTGTAACTTAAAACCCGACGGAGTGCTCAAACGTGGGACTGCTCTGCAGAGGCCGGGTCTGGCTCTCGAGCTCTGATGGTCGTCCAAAGCAGACGCTGATGGGGTGTCACAGGAGAGCTGTCCAAACACTGGGCTGAGGGATAGATGCCAGGCGCCTGGTTGTGTTTACTGGTGTTTGTGTGTGAGTGTGTGTGTGTGAGTGTGAGTGTGTGTGTGAGTGTGAGTGTGTGTGTGTGTGTGTGTGTGTGTGTGTGTGTGTGTGTTTGTGTAGCTGAGAATAGGAGGCACGGGAGGGAGTTTTAAAAGTTTTTGGTGTGCACTGTTTGTTTAAAAAACTGTTCATTGTTTGATTGGATTCCTCTGTATAAGTAGCCATGCCAATCAATCTTGACCAGTAGGGGCATCACTTCTATATATAGACTTGCTGGAGCACGGTAAGTACAGCTCTTGTGTAGCTGCTGCTGTTGATAGAGAATAGTAGTCTGAATCTGGGGTCAACCGAAAGTGAAAAACAAACACTTCACTTCCAGTAAAGGATGTTATTTGACCTAAATGTGTCATCATCTCACCCAGCATTTAAAAACATGCCTGCATACCAGTATCACCATAGAGGGGATTGGAAAACAGCTACAACATCCCACTCTGATGTAAGCGGTGGTTGTCTGAAGCACCAACTTGGCCCAAACAAACAGGTGACTACCACGGGACAGGCTTTTCAATTCCTAATCAGTGGTAAGTGTCTGATTCTGCAAAATTCAATATTGGCAGCTGTGTATCCTCCAGCAGCCGTCCTGTGGACAAGACACAGTCACATCATAAAAACCCACCCCCACCCACAAAACTCTCCGTGCCTTGAACTGCCCCATTTACACTAATTGTCATTCAGATGAGTGGGGGGGTTTGTTGTTTAAGGCTGCCCCTGACACCATTAACATGAAAAGCACAATTAAGAGTAATTAGGCTTTTCCAGGCAAAAAGGGGGGTTATCTGGTAACCTAGCACGCAATAACTCTGCAGATAACATCAGCATTATATATATTTTCATTCAGTCAAATTCTTGTCTCCATCCATTAATTGCATGTGAAGACGTTTCAATTTAATCTTGTTGACACAGCAAGCCCCTATAAAACGGAATAAACAGCGTTTCCCACAAAGCAGCAGGTCCAGTTGACTTCGGACTCACAATTTCAAGATAACCCATGACACAGAACAGACACATCCAAACTGAGCGACTTATTGGGACACACTTAACAAGATGCTTCGCAGGCCGGCAAAACGAGCCATCTCAAGGTTTGAATCAGGTTTAAGAGGGGTTGGAGAGGTGGAGGTCTGTGTTTTGGTTGTGGCAGGCAGCAGATAAATGCCTTCAAGGAGGAGAAGTCGCCCCATTCACAGACCACAGGAAGCGGGGTCTGGGGAACATGCAAGGACTTGCTCAAGCAGGGTCAATCCACTGGGGTATGTCCAAGCATGAGGAACCGCTGTGGGGATGGATATTTTAGGATGGGAGGGGATGCACAGGTTTCCTAAGTGCTTCCTGAAAACAAGGCGTGCACACACACACACAGAGGAGGGGTGGACGAGTGATGCGGTGGGGGGGGCAGAGATTAAAAGAGCCCCATGCTGTGTTATCAGGGTAATGAATTCTTACTGGCGGCCAAGCAAAGTTCAATACATGCAGCAAGACAACTGAGAGAGGACAGCACAGCGTCAGATTACACAACTTTAGACACTGGAGAGACATCCAGCTTTTAGCTCACATTGGGCTACATTCACATCTATACATATATATTTGAATGGGAGTGGCATATAAGGCAATATATGTTGATCCCAACTCATGAGACATGATTATCGATGACTGTCGAAACGCACATGTAAACATTAACAAGTTACAGTGTGTGGACCAAAGAGGCACTAAGAGAAGACTTTTTTATACATCTCAGTTTGGGTCAAACTCTGTCGACCTGCCACCAAACTGCAGTGAATAAAACTTGCTATTAAGCTAGCATGGTAACAGTTCTGTAGTAACGTCATCCTGTAGTAATGTCATCCTGTAGTAACGTCATCCTGTAGTAACACCAAATTGCAGTGAATAAATATTCAAATCCCACAGTTCACCTCTCAAAGGGCATTTTGCATTCTCCTTCAGTCAGACTAATACCAGGATGCATTGTGATATTATCGTTATCTTGGGCCATGTATCGCACATCGATAAAAAGCGTGCATCATTAATTCAGTTATAGTAGCTCCATAGCTGACTTTAAAAGAGAGAGTCTTTCTATAAAGAGTCGTAGCAGTGTAATAGCTGTGTAGGGCCTCACTGTCACACGGCCCTCAGCGTGGGAAGAGAGCGGCTGTTCGATCGTATGTCTACAAAAAGCGTGAAAGAAAACACTATTGATAAAAAGTCACTGTGAAATGTCTACCTTAATATTCTGGTGCCCTTGACTCAACAATGACTTTACTGTACTTTGAGGTTAGCTGTTCTAAAGCTAGCGTGCTAACGTTTCCTCCATTCTGTAGCATCTTCAATTAAGTAACAGGAATCCTACACTTCATCTCTTGAGGGCATTTTTTATTCTGCTTGTCAGACAGACATCATGATGTATTGTTTCATGATTGTTTCGCGATACATCACAGAATCGCTGTATCGTGATATTATCATTATCACAGATCTTACTGAGCCATGAATTAACCTAACATATACTCTGCATCTGTCATTAATAGGAACACACTGATATGTCGGTGTTAGATAAATAAAACGTGCAGCATCAATACAGTTATGTAAGGTACATAGGGCTGCTGTGGCTTCAGCGGAGAAAGTCGTAGCAGAGGAATAGCTGTGCACGGCCTCACTGTCACACGCCCCTCGGCTCAGCGTGGGACCAGATGACACCAGTCTGACCGTACGTCCCCAGAAAGCGTGAAGGTAAACATCACAACTTAAAAAGCAACAGTCAGTTTAAAATGTCTACCTACACATGCTGCTGCCCTGAGCAGTGACTTCACTCCGACTTTTCCACAAGTTAGCGGTTTCAAAGTAAGCATGGTGACGCTCCTGCTGATACTTCATTTTGAATCTGCGTCACTTTTGTTGCGGACTGAAAACTCAGAGACGCAAAGTTTTCAGAGGATGCCTCCTCGTGCGTCTCTCTCGCGCCGTCCTCTTGGAGAGAGGCGTGAGTGCGCGTGCACGCAGCCCCAGCAGTGACCAGATCGTAAGTAGCAACAATAAGTGAGGAGTGGGAGTACTCACGCACGGCCTCCTGTTTGGGGTCCAGCTCGGAGCAGGTCTGCTGCAGCTGGCCGATCTTCCTCTGCAGCCCCCTGACCCGCAGGCTGGTGGAGGCCAGGTCGCTCTCCAGCTCCTGGAATATGGAGCAGGCGTGTTTGGCCAAGTCCGACAGCTGCCGCAAGGTCCGGGATAGAGCCACATGACTGATGGAGACCAGGTCCTCGTAGAGCACAGCCTCCTCGCCCGGGACCTGGTACCTGCACAGTAACTGGGGCTCCACGAGTCGCTTGGCGAACGGCATGTTGGCGCGGAGTTAATCCAACAGAAGTCACCCGAGGGCGGGCAGAGAGCACTTCTTCCCCCTCGACCCCTGATCCAGTTTGTCTGGGTTCAGCTGCAGCTGGAGCCCCCCATCCCTCCACTGGCCGGAGAAGAGTGTAGTGCTCGTGGCCGCGGCGCCGGCTCGTGCTGCCCTGACGCTGCTCTGTGTTACTGCTCTAAAGTACAGGGGGTTTTAAAAAAGGGCCGACGACAAAACCTGGAGCGGAGTCTCGGGATTTTCCAGGATCCGGACTGTTGGGCTCTGTAATGACTCAGAGTTGCCAGGAAAAAAAACCCGAATGTAGTGGTCCTGTATTTCACTGCACACACACACACACACACACACACACACACACACACACACACACACACACACACACACAGATGTGTATGTCAGACTGATCTGATAAAAGTTTGAAAAACACAATGGAGTCAAATCAGATTGGACAGTTAAAGGGATAGTTCACCCAAAAAGGAAAATTCACTCATTATCTACTCACCACTATGCTGATGGAGGGGTGGGTGAAGTATCCATGAATCCATGAAACAATTTCAGAGTTTCAGGGGTAAACGAAATCCAATGCAAGTGAAGTAAATGGTGACCACTTTTTCAAACTACATAAACTATAAAAAGAACAGTACAAAAACATAAAATTCCTCCATACTGCTCCTGTGGTGCAACGCTGTTTACCCCTGAAACTCAAAACGTTTTTTGTGGGCTAAAACACTTCACCCACCATCCACCCACCCCTCCATCGGCATAGTGTTGAGTAGATAAGGAGTGATTTTCCTCTTTGAGTGAACTATCCCTTTAATACTTCAGGTGTCCTGTTTTACTCTCTTTTGGAACACTGCACTTTCTTTCAGGGCGGTGAAAATGACAGAATCAAAAGGTAAAAACTTGATTAATTAAAAATACCACCCTGGCATTTGTGCTTTTTGTCCTGTGCATTACAAACATTGGAGAAATGCCCATTCAAAACCTGTCTGTTGAACATGTACTCTGGAGCTACTTCAGAATTATTCCTTGTCATTAGTGAGTCCTCCTCCAACAGTTCTACAATACTTTCACATTTTACTTTTGTTTCCTGATGTTGTGTGCAGGGCTTTTTATAAACAGTCCATGATGCAGAATGAGGTTATCTGCAGTGAAGATTTTATAATGTTATTCTTATAATGAAACTGAATTTGCTTTATTGCTGTTCACATGTTATTATCATTAGTTTTTCACAGATTGCATGTCACCATTACAGAGATCTGAAACTGACACATTGTTCAGACCCCGGTTGACAACTTTTCAAAATACACGCTCTGTAATTCAATCAGACTTGACAGTACATATTACAGACTTCCTGTGGTACTCTCTTTGCACTTCTTTCAGTGGGAAGAAAATGACAGAATCAAAAGATAAAAACTTGATATTATAAAAAAAAATCCATAGAACATTTATGCTTTTATCATGTGCATGGTAAGAATTAAAACCCCCTCCCTGGTTCTTGAATGAAGACTAATTTATCTGAGATTCATCGTAAACTCAAGGAATTTATTTTTTTCATTTGCTTTGAAATAGAGCTGAAGTGATTTGTCAATAAATCCCTAGTTGATTTAAAGAAAATGAATAAGTGATCATTTTGATAACAAAGACATTATTGGGAATATTTTTGGAAGAAAAACTACAAAACGTCTAGTCTTGATCGAAATATGAATTGTTGGTTTGCTTAAATGTCTATGATAACAAATTGGAGGATATTTTAATATGTCTGTTTAGATTCTGGTAGCTGTCTGTAATTGATATTTATCTCATATTTCTGATTTAAAAAATGAGTCTATCATTGATTATTAGATTATTCCTGATGAAAAGATTGATACTTTTTAACTGTGGCTAATGTATTCTGCACAAGCATCATGCTGCTGTTGTCACACTATTTTACAACAAAGAGCAGGAACATATGCAGCATGATATGTATAATTCCAGATGTAGCCAACAAGAATAGTTGCACATTGTCAGACTTACACAGAGCATGAATCTGCTAATTAATGATGGATAATGAAACAATCATTTTAAGTTATGTCCCCTGTGTAGGTGAATTTTTGTTATTCACCTCTCAGCCTGGGCCGAGCTTCATTCACATTTGCTGAATGAGTGTTTAGTTAAATCCCAGCAGCTGACAGGGCCAGAATCAGCAGAGGTGACAGGCTAAAAGCCCTTCCTGTGGCCTAACTAATGTCCACATCAGAAGTGCAACCTTTGCAAAGCGTGGCACGGGACAAAGGAGAGACAAGAGGAGCGGCGTATGTCGTCATCTTTGAGTAATGGTGCGCCAACAAAAGGTCTAACTTGTTTGGACAAAAGCTGGTAATCTTTGTTGTGAGAGGAAACAGCTTTAACTTTTATCCACTGGGGAGATATGGGTTCAGTTCATTTACACTACATGTGGAAAACCAAGCGATAGCGCTACATTCATTACCTCTAGCTTTCTGCTGTATTCCAATAAACATTTCAAACATAGATACTGTGACATTGATTAATTCTAATTCTGTCTGAGTGCACCAACTATCTCTGTCTCCAACTAGACGAATCATTAATAGTAATAACCATGGAGGTAATAATTACCCAGTGAGAGATAGCTGGATGGCAATTATATCAAACAGGCATATACTTAGACACTGAGACAACACATGGTGGACACATATAGTTTCATCGTCACGTGCAGCTGTCATCTTGAAATGCACAGCAAACACTTTAAAGTGGTATTTATAGTTCAGCGAGAAAGGCTCCTTGTTAAGCTGCCTGATTGAATCAACAAACACACTCTGCTCCTGAAGTATAAGATGAAATAGCAGCTCCACTATGGGAGGAGATACTGTAAGATGAAGCAGCAGGTAGTGGCACGAAGGCCTGCGCCAAATATTGGTTATGGCACTGAGGAGTTATGAGCGTCTTGTTGTCGTCTGGCATCCTGTGTCTGTCTCCCAGACTGAACTCATTCACTCCAGCTCACTCTGGCACGTGTGTGTGTCTGTTTGTGTGGTGGTGGTGGTGGTGGGGTACACCTGCCCCTTTGCCCTTCAATGTCCAAAGAGATCTTTTGTCAGGGTGTTTTTATTGTTGTTGTTTTGTTTGTGAATGCATGCGAAAACCCACACCTTCAAAACACAGTCACAGGGGGCAGTACAAAGCATTTGAAGATCACGCGTTAGACACCGTTGTGGCAGAAATCTAACAATAAAATGATACAGAGGAGAAAAGAGTAAAAACAAAATTAATTCTAAAGTGATTAAAGTGATTCAAATTTTAGAGTGAGAATAAAAAGAATGGAGGTAAAAGGTGAAAGTTTTAAAAAGTTGAAGGTGAATTCAGACTCCAAGTCTTCAGTGGTAAATGGTCTGTATTCATAGAGAGCAGTTTACTGTACAGTTTTGCCATCCACGCATTCAAACACTTGTTTATAATGTGCATGCATGTGCAGCACGTTCTCTATAACGCATCATACACTAGCAGCCTGATCGTCAGGGGCTATTTGGGGTTCAGTATCTTGCCTGAGGACACTTCGGCATGTGGAATGGGGGAGACTGGGAAGAAACCGCAGAGCCTCTGGTTAGTGTACGCTTCTACAAGAATGCACACTTATAAAAATATATATATTTATACTTAAAGTATATAAGTGGATAAGGAGCTTGCCATCATAGGCTACTTGTTAATGAATAGATACCTTTAATTCAACAGCTAAAAATTCTGTTAGTGTATGGTGTTACAAAATGCTTTCTAAGTGCCCCTTTATAACTTTGATCACCCCTCTATAGATCTTGGTACAACACTGCCCCTGCTCATTTGTTCTCTCAGATGTGGCCGCACCACATTTCCCCCTAATGCCTTGCAAACAGACTCCAACACTTCTCAGAGATTTAAGAATCTCTTTCATTTTCAATTTCTTAAAAACTAGAAAATGACTCATCCAGTGATCCATGCAGCTCTCTGCTGGGCTGGTTTCATCTTGCAGAATATTTCACACTGAAAAATGAGTCAATTCAATTTTATTTGTGTGGTGACAAATCACAACATACATGATCTCAAAGCTCTTCAGGCCGAGACCTTAAAATATCCTAGAGAAACCCAACAGTTCCCACAATGAGCGACTGTGGGGAGAGAAAAACCCTCTGACGTACTCAGTGTGGCGGCCGTCTGCTTCCAGTCACAAAGAAATGGAGATGCAAAAAATAGTGACCAATAAAACGGTATGCTTCACTACATTGTGGCCCTGTGAGGCTGCTATGTGCTAAAGTTAACATGGTCTCTGTGATAACACTAACGTACCAATTTTAGCAGGTGTAATGTTTATAAGCTGCTAATTAGCAGCAAACACAAAGTGCAGCTGAGGTTGATGGAAAAATAATGACTTCTGTGGGCATTTATTTATCCAGCAGTGTCGAGAAATATCACTCAAACCACAAATGTAAACTTCATAGCCCTCTGTTGAACCATGCAGCTAAACTCACAATGTTGGCATATGATGTTAACAAGCGGGACAAATGTCCAGACAGATCAATGTCCTTGATCGTGATCACAGCAGCTTGTTAAAGGACTTGGAGTTGAGTGGCGAGCTTGATTGTAACATGCGTGAAGGTGAGGTGTCTAAGTGGGAGCCAAGTGTGTCAGGGAATATTTTTGGACAGCAGTGGCGGAGGGTCTGGAAATACAGCCATCAGTGGTGATCTGCTTGACCCTCTCCTGTTGTGTCTGTGTCGGAGACGGCACAGCTGCTTGGTGAGGGCCAGAGGGTTGTGACTGCAGTCTGCCTGATCTCTTCATGTGCATGATGTGATCATGCCCTCTGATACATGTGTAAAAGCATCCACGCTTCAATGTCAACGTCTTTTTGAGAGTTAAAAGTGAGAAGTCGCTGTTCCGACTGAAAACATCAACTCTGCTTCAGATACATCTACACTACCTCCAAGATGTACAGCTGCGAAAACAGAAATGTTTAAGCTGGTCCCATTTTAGTTTGAAAACTCTGTGGCTGCGACTTAGTCCGGACGGGCAGAAACTAAGATGTTTAGAAACGCAGGCTTTCAAATTGCTGATTGGATCTTTTCGGTATTGACGTAACTTTAATCTTAATCGCCAGGCTCCTGTCACATGAGCCCCTTCCAGTAAGAAAACAACCGGCATTGGCCTCTGCTACCAGTGTAGAACGCTACATGGATTACTAATTACAAGTGATGCTGACCCTGTTGTATTTTCTATTAGTTGTTATTTTATGGATGGGGATTAAAACTGATGCAGAACAAAAATGCTCATGTGGACAGAGATGAAAATGCTGTATTCATACAAAAACCTAGCCTGACACAATTAAATGGGTAAAACAAAGATGGAGTCCTCTTGCACAATCGTAGAAATAAGATGACAACAAGCGATAAAAATAGACCATTTTATTGATTCGTCAGCCCAGAACTCAGTTGTGCATGATTTTGTTTAATTTACAGTCCAATGCTCACATCGCTTTAGTAAACATGCAGTATCAAGCATGCCATCAGAATATTCAACCACTTCATTCATCATCATTAACAATCTACATGTTTGGGGGAACAATGGTCTAAAGCAAGCATCAACAGCACAACATATTTGCATAGATAAAATCAAAACCACATCTGCTTCTGCAGACATTCGCTCTTTGATATCTATCTCGCAAAACATAAGAGGAATGTTGAGGAATATTGTGCTTTTTTATCAGTTAGACTGATTTGCTTTGTGGAGATTTTTCTTTTCATAATTACCGTGACACTATGGATGAAGTATGAACATAAGGGATCCAGAAATTCAGCAGTTCTTCTTTCTAACAGGGGGAATAAATAGAAGATAGAGCCAAGTAAAATGCACACAAATCCAGTGTCAAAAGTGTCGACATTCTTCAGTGTCCTGATCATCACGTGGGTCAGTGCTACAATCTGACAGCAGACATCACATTTGGTTTGCAGGCTGTATATGTGTGGCTAAATCCAACTCAGCTCTAATGAGGTATTTGCTACCACACAGCCCCACCAATGTGTATTTAAACAAAATGTAAGTGCAAAACTGAATCACATTCACGTTGTAATCTGCAGCACTGTCACTTGCTTTAGACCATGAAGTACACAGTGCACGAAAGATGAAAACACAGAGTACTTTAGTTCCCATTATTAACACAGAACATGAGAAAAGTCATGGAAATATGTGCACGAAACTGTTACATGATTCATAAGTAGGGAACATTTTATGGGATAAAGAAACGGGAACTCAAAGGAGAAAAATAAGTTATAATGTCACAGTGAATAACAGGATATTTTACATGTGCATATCACACAATGATTTAAAAAATGCATGGATTCATCCTGCAAAACTGCACTAAAAATAATACAAAGGAACATTTGGGCGTAGAGCGTTATCACATCCCTGTGTCTACAATGCACCTTTGTTTCCATCGTGAGCCCTTTCACTTTTACTCAGCATACATCACATGGCTCAAACATTGAGACATTGATGTACCTCAGTGAAACACTGGGAACCAGACTTGAGGCTCAGTCACGTCGAGGCCACAGGCCGCAGAAGCTCAAGCTGGGTCTCCAAGATGACCCTGTCCTGGTGAACCACCTACAGACAAACAAGAGACACATGACATCTGATCACCGCAATCTCAACAAGACCTTCAACTCGGGAAGTAATTACATTTTTGCTGTGGTGACAATGGTCTAAAATAAGAATAAATCCCTGCTTACTGAAAGATTTATGTCTCATTTCATCCCAAAATATGAAAGTGTTGGATATAATCAAGTGGAAAGTCATGAAAAAAATGACAGTTTGACATGAGGGCAGCGTAAAACATTCACAACCAAGTGTTTTAAGGGAAATATATTTGTTAGATTAAGTGGAAAATGTCTTAACGCAGTGGTCGGATTTCTGAAGAGCACAAAAATGACAAATCATTTGCTGGGGATCAGAGCTTATAGTAAAATGGCAATCATGTTAATCTTTGATATATTCTTTGGACCATGGAGTTGGACATGTTTCATTAAGATGCTTGTTTACGCTGAACCAAACAAAGCAGTTCAGTGCTGCCTGCATGAACGATCTTAGGTTTCTGACTGTTGGTGTTCCAAAATCAGTAGCACAACGTGTAACAACAGTGTCGGTGTCTGTCCCGCCATCCTGGCTCTACCTCTTAGTTCTACAGAGTGCTTGACTGCTGGTTAACAGCAATGTTCCAACATCCAACCCATGTTCGTACCTCTTAAAGACAAAGGTGAGGTGGAATAAATCACATTCCCACCTTTGAGCCGACTGTGAGAGGCTTTTAACAAACATCTGCATCCTGAGCAAAAAGGGAGTGAATGCTTTTATGCAAAATAACACTCATGTGCTGATTGTCCTTTCTTTGTACGTTCATAAGAATATTTAATATTAAATAACCACAAATGTCCTTATGTCTCGATCTCTTTTTTCATTTGGACTTAGACATCAGCTTGGAGTCATCCAGCCTCCTGTCTCTTCTCACACACCCTGCTGTAGTTGGACTCTTGACTGGCCTATAGGCTCTATTTTAAACAAGACAGTTGTGAATGCCAGTAGCTGTTTGGTCTTTCAACAAGGCTGGAGTCTATATAAAGACCCATATGCCTTTCTCTGCAGAATTCCTCAGATGCTTTGAGGAACTAGCAGAATTAGAGAGAATAAATATCAGCCTAGAATACACAGTGCTCATGGAAGAAGAATGATAATAAATAAAGGCTTACAGCTTAAAAATCCCTCTACCTGTTTGGACTTTCTCTCTTTTTTTAACTCCCACGTCTCTGTGTTATTAAAACTATAAAAGTGCTGCATGTGCGTGTGTGTGTGAAGGATCCACTACTGGATCATTTACAAGGGGAATGACAGGCATGCAGCATGTGTTCCAAATGTGAGTGCGTGTGCCACAAGCAGATCCCCAATGCAAACATCCAAGTCTGTGCCATTAGTTCAGCTATGAGTGATGGGGGAGCAAACTGTTGAGCTCTGACCTTTTCACCACTTTGGACCTGCAGAACTTCTGACGATCGAGCAGCAACTTTCTAAACAGTATTAACCGTGCTCTCTTGGTTGTGGTTAAATGTAGCGTATAAACTCCCGCCCTTTGATTAAGCAGCCTTAACATGTGTTTTCTGGGAGCTGCAGGGCTGGTTTTCCCCTTTTCAGTGTCCCGGAGGAGCCAGAGGGCAGGGAGGGTCAGACAGTTCACATAGATGGACACGCAAAAAATACAAAATACAAAGTGGTATGGTTGCATTTAGAAAATGCTTTGTGCTCTAAAAAATAGAGGAGAGGCTGACCTTGAGTTGTTGTTGGAGCTCACTGTTGAGGCGTGTCAGTACTGCGTTGGTTTCTTTATTCTTACGGATCGCCATCTGGATCTCCCTCTTCTGTCTGGAAAGAGAAAAAAAATCATCAGGATTTTAATACATTTTTATAAAGATAGAATTATTAATATAATAAAAGTCTATACTACTCTATTTTCGTTTGAAAATGCCTCAACTCAGCTACAGATACGTCTGCTGTCCACACTACACCGGAGCTCAGAAACACTGCTGGTCCTGTAGGTTGAAAACTGGGGGGACATTTTAGTGTGGACGGGCAGAAACACAGATGTTTGGAAATGATGACGTCACTGATTGGGTCTTTTGGGTCATGATGTAGCCTTTGCTTATTTGTCAGGGTCCTAACACATGACCCTCTCCAGAAGGAAACAACCAGCATTAGACTTGGTTACCAGTGTAGACCACAACATGAATAATCAAGTTGTGTTTGAACGGCTGTTGTGCAGTTAAATTCTGCATTTTACATTTCACCAGCGCTGCTTCTCGTTTGTTGCCTCGTTCTTTCTGCAATTAACAACCAAATGGTTCTTGTGCACGTCGACACGCACAGTATATAAGAGTGGTCATGTGCCTTTTCAGGCGTGTTAGTATGGACGGCGATTAAAACGCTTGTGTGGAAAGAGAATTTTGGTTTGAAAATACTAGCAAAAACATGCTATGGTATATAGTATGGTCATAGTCTTAGACCAGTGTACATGAATGAAGTCCATGAACTAGAATGAGACTCAGAAGACTGCATTCTTCTAAGGCCCAAACAGTTTATGAAAAAACATTTAAATTCACTAGCTCTGGATTGTTAATGTGGATCACACGCTCATTAATATCAGTCCCCTTAACATGCCTGATTTTTTACATCAAGATCCATGAATAATATCCTGGTAAATCTGTAAAAATGCCAAAAAGCCCTTTCTCGTAATGTTAGAGAATGGATGTTGGATCCTTTGTCCAGATCCACCCCAAAATTGAATGGTTCCATTTTCCACCCGTTCAATATTTTTTGTGGAATCCAAACAAACAAGTAAACAGACAAATATCTGAGATAAGATGAAGACTCTGAAACAATGAGTCACTGTGCTCAGAGACAGTGGACACTAAAAGGATCAGACTGAAGCTTTTAAGAGCTTTGCATCACTCAAGCAGCCACTGCCAGCAGTCACCACTGTTATTGATGGTCACCCTCTCCTGCACTAACCCACAGATTCACTGAGCTGTCTGGTCGATACGGAGACAGAAGCACACATGTTGGAGTCATTATGGAAGGTTAGGGTGCGCCTCAACCTCTTCTGAATTCCCCTTTCTAGATGGCTGTCAGGGGTTTATAATCACCGCACAGTGGATACTTTTACAGCACAGATAGTAAATTTAGATAGTCAATAAAACTTCACCAGGTTTAACTGAAATGGGGATTTTTAAAGAGTCAAATGTGTGACTGACTTTTGAGCAGGTTTGGAGGAGTGAGGAAACGGCACAGCGGGTAAAGGTGCAGCCTCTGGGTTCTGGCTCTCTGGGTGGTACTTCCTCCGAACTGGTTTCTGTGGAGCCTGACTGGGACAAACAGCCATAACATCCTGGAGGAGAGTTAACGGAAACAAACGTCAACCTCCTCACTGCGACAAAGACAAACACTTGAAAAAATAAAACGAGCACGACCCTCCCGAATTGATGTGATGGGTTCTGACCTGCTTTGGAGCATTTGTCAAGTCTTCAGTATTTGGACCAAATCGAGATCGTAAACTCTGCTCCTCAGGTTTTACTCTGTTCTCCTCCTGGAACACAGACAAAAGCAAACAAATGACAATAACAGAACAAAAGAACATCAGAGCGTCGATGACATTATAAAGTGGAATGATATGAGGGGAATGCTAAAGAGGCAGGATGAAATGTGTCTGCTCTGACCGTAGCTAAATCAACAGCTTCCCTATAGGGAGCACGATGTAGTGCTCTGCAGCCATGATGGATTAACCTGCGTTTATTGCATCTCCTTCCTGCATTTCAGCCATTACTCTCCTCTAGACATAATGTATAATATACCTCCACCTGTTTTTATTCAGCAGAGAGGTTAAAAGTGCAAGAGTGTGAAGACAGGCCCTCTGCTTCTTAATTCTAGATCATAGTAAAGGCTGCAAGATTCGTTATTTGGGAAGTTGAAGGCATTTCTTACTAGGCAGCCCTTCGGGTACCTTTTTTGCCCTACAGCATTTCCCATCTGTTAATGTTGGACTTGGTGAATTTGATCCACTAATTTCTATGGGCTGCTGTCTCCGTTGTGGTGGCAGCTGAAATGCCTGGGCTTTCCTGATGGTTTAAACAGGCTAAAGCTGCTCCTGTAAACTGTGCCCAAGAAAGCTAAAAAACGCATTACGCTGAGCAATGCGACTGACTCGCGAGCAGACACAAATAAACGGCCCAAAGATTTACTTCACTGTCGAATGTGAAACACAACCACAGCATGGAAACATTAAAAAGTTACTGTAGTAGCTGCAACAGTGGCAATAAACCACAGGAGCTCTATTAGCAGTACGTGTGGTCACATCAGCCATAGGACATGGCTGTTTCACTCCAGAAATGTAAGGGCTGAAAAAGTTACGTCACTCTCTCAAAGAGGGAGATATTTTTTCAACCGGTTTGATTTAAATGATTTAAATTAAAGCAAAGCAGCGAGATTTATATCCAAACTTGAGTTGTTTTTACAAACCAAGAGTCTGAATGTTTTAACTTGTCCGGTGGTTTGATGCTGACCGAGAGCAGATACAGGGACTCTCTGTGACTCACCAATCATCCGACTGGACCCTTTCACTCTCAGGTCCAGTCTGTCTCCGTCCTTCAAACGGTTCTCCTAATTTCCCTGCAGAAGCTTGGCTCGTATCAAGTACTCACCTTTAGCATCGACATATTTTATAAGTATGAGCTATTTTTAACTGTACCAACAGTTCCCTCATCTACAAAACATTTCTCTCAGGGGCTGGTTTAAGTTTCAGTTTGCCTTACTAAGTGAAAAACATACACACAGGGTTTATCCACCTTTGGGATCGTCCAGTCTGCTTGCTTTTAATTTAGCCTAGGTAAAACATCCTGTGGGAAGGCAGGGAAATGGTGATACTCCACAAACAACTGTGGGAAGACTTCCGAAGAATTACACACACAAGACCAGAGCCAGCATTGAAGAGGGCACATTCACTCTACTAGTAAATGATCCCATACTGAAAAGACAGCACGGCAGGATTTGAGTGATTCTACAACATTAAAGAGGAGATGGGTGGTCTTATGTTACTGAGGACTGGACACTGTGATCACAAAAATTAAGAGCTGCTGTGCCCTTTGACCTGAAAACTACATTGCATGTGTCAAATTAGATCCAGAGGGGTGGATGTCAAAAAAGACAAAACCCCTAACGACTTCTCTCTGTCTCCCAGGACGACAGACAAATAAATATAAAGATTTCGAGAAATTTCACACGCAGTTCCACTCAAATAAGCCAAATAAATACATTGTTTAAAAAAGTACTTATCATATACACTCAATACTCCACACACACTCACACATGCAGTGAAGTAGAATGTGACCATCAGTGTTTTGTTTAAGTTTTCGAGGTTTATTCTAATTGCTATAGCTTAACTAGTGGGACAAATGGAAAAAAACCCTCAACATCAGCAGAATCAGTGCCTGCATGGCATTTTAAGCATTGTTTTAGATTTAAAT